ATAATATCTATTTTCTATTTTCTCAAATAATTTAATTCTTCTCAGTTATCTCATGTTAGATTAAAAAAAATTCATTCATAAATAGAATAGTTACGTTATAATTCAGACAATAAATCTGTACAAAAACCTTTTCTGCCAAAAAATGCTATGTAATAAATTAACTAAGAAATTATAATTTTAATCTTTGCGTAAATATTTTCACAATTTAGTATTATAAGTGCAAAAGAGGATGCCTCAATAAAATAAAAAAGAACAATTAAGTTATAATTGAATTTCTAGCATGAAAAAATAAAAAAAAATTTGCCTTCATTCCTTATCTATCTGTTCAATAACAAATGAAATTCTTTATCTTATATTTTATTTTGATGAGAACATTTTAATATAATTATTATTTTTCTTTTTATTTTTGAAAATTTGAAAAACCCATGCTGGAGGGAAACCAGTAATTAGCGAGTCAAGAGATCTTTAAAGATCGAGGGAAGGGAGATTAGGTCTTTAAAAATCGATTTTAAGGTATGAAATATTATTTCACTTTCCATATTCATGGCTTCCTTCTGATTTTCTGAACCTACATCTGTAATCAATCGATAGGAATGAATTTATCCAAAAAGTTCGAGCCTGAACTCATAAGCTGATTCCTTTAATTTTGGAATTGTTCTTTTTCCAGAAAATTCTTTTTTTAATACCTTATTGGTATCTACCTAAGCTCACTGTGTTAATATATTTATCATAATTATTTACATTGAATTACAAGGATGATAGGAGAAAAGGACATAGCCTTAGGTTTAAATTCTAATAATCATTCATTATTAATCTTAATGTATAGTTTAATATTGAAGAGGGTTAATCTCATTTTTTGAGATGAAAAATAAAATTATTTTAACTCTATCAAGTAATTTGTATAAGAATTTGGTTAAATTTACTAAAATAGATTTTGGGTAATTTCTTAATTAATTTAAATAACTTAAATTTTTTCTGGTGAATGAGTTTATATAAGGGGTATTGTTGTCTTGATATTGATTTCTCTTTATAATCATCTTGAAGCTGACGTCATTATAAACTCAGACTTGAAAATGCTGTGTACAACATATCAGTGATTTATACATGTTTATTATTTATAGATGCTCATTAGATAATTGAAGGTGCTTTTAGATGTAGGTTTGGATTCACATAGAGCTTAGGTTAATCAGTAATTAAGATCATTAGATGGTTATTAGGGAGATATAATTATTTCTTTAAGTCTTAATCCTTCATATAATATCATACTTCTTAATGATTAATATATCTTTTCGGTTAATTCCAATATGAAATACTTTTAATGTCAATTTATAAGTAAAAATAAAAGGTTACAGAATACTTTTAAAAAATCATTCTATTTTATTATTTGTTTAACTTTTTTATTGTTTATATTATTAGAGGGTTAGCTTTATTCTAATTCATGAAATATCTTTTTTATTATCTTTGTTATTAAATATATCTTTATGATTTATAAACTTAAAAAACTAAAATTTAGAACTATCAACTATTATATCAATCCCTTTTTTAAATAATAATAAATTAAGTAAACCTATCATAATGTTTTAAGTCATTTTTAAAGAATGAAGTTTTGTTAATTTACTTTTAATTATTTTTAAATAATCATTTAACACTTTATTCTAAACTCTTCGGTGTGCTCAGTGTTATCCATTAAATTATCTGTAGAGTATTATTTAATGTAATATCATTTAAATTTGAATATTCTCTAAATATTAATTTTTTATAATTTTATGACATCTGAATATGAATTGATTACACTAGACTGACTATAGATTGCTATAATATTAAAGAAAATGAGGTGGATATTTAACTGAAATAGTATAAAACTTTAGAAATAGGTGCTGATTCATCTTAAGTAGTGTTGTTATAATAATAATTGTATTTTTATTAATAATAATCAAATTCTCTCTTACTTAAAG